TCATTACCAAAGTTCATACAATAATAATTTAAGAGGGGCATTTAATCACACACGCAGTCATTATTCATCTCACCATACATCAAATTCACATTTTAATTCAAATAAACACCCTGTAAATCAAAACAAGAATTTTAACAATGCGCCTCAAGGCTTGGTTTGTCCCATATGCAAAAATTCCCATATGATATATAATTGCAAGGATTTCATGAATTCATTACCGAGTGAAAGATGCGAAAAGGCAAAAAATGCGCATTTATGCGTTAATTGTTTGAAACTTGGCCACGACAGCCGAAATTGTCGTCACATTATTTCTTGTAAGACATGTAACGGGCGGCATCACACATTATTACATATTAATCGCGTTCAAGGCAATGATCGCTCACGTGAAACTACCTCTAATCCTGTCGTTTTAACCCCAATCGAGCCATCTACTTCGTTAACAAATTGTTCATTCTCTAACAACACGGTACAATGCCAGGTAATCTTACCAACCGCTCTAATAAACGTTTATGACAGGTGCAATAAAATGCATACAGCCAGAGCACTTCTGGATTCCGGCTCTCAAAGTTCATTTTTATCTGCCGAATTGCATAATAAATTAGGTATTGCAACCGAGCAGGTTGATTGGACAGTGTCCGGCATAACAAATATTTCACGCAAATTAGATGAAAGGTGCAATTTAAAATTATCATCTAAAATAAACGATTTTTGTGCACAACTACAGTGCTTCATTGTTCCCCAGATTTCGGGTCATCTACCGTCTGCGCCCTTAAATACAAAAAATTTAAACATCCCAGAGAACTTGCCGTTGGCAGACCACATGTTTGCTAAACCCCAAAAAATCGACATCCTTATCGGAAGTGACCTGTTTTGGAGCCTTGTGGGTCAAAACACCTTTAGTCTAGGTAAAAACAAACCAATAATGCACCAAACATTATTCGGTTGGGTTATAGCAGGGCCGTACTTTGTACCACTTCCAGCGCGCAACGAAGTAAAGTGCAATTTTTTAACTTCGTCTGCCGAAACTCAAATTCAAAATCAGTTAGCGCGATTTTGGGAATTAGAGGAAATTGCCGAAAGGCAAATTTTATCAAAAGAAGAGATTGCCTGCGAACAGCATTTTCATAATACTACTCGACGAGAATCCGCCGGTAAATTTAATAACCACCCCGAAAAATTAGGTAATTCCTATCTATCACGAAATCGATATTTTAATTTAGAGAAAAAATTTAATTCAAATCCTAAAGTAAAAACATTTTACGAAGAAATACAACCATTAACGAATAATTCCCCTGTTAAAAACTCAAGCAAATTGAAAAATGTATTTCCATTTGTTGACACAGAAGGTGTTCTTCGCGTGGGGGGTCGCTTGCAAAATTCTCAGTTTTCTTACGAAAAACGACATCCAAGTATAATTGCATCTAATCACCCGCTTACAAGGCTTATTTTTCATTATTTTCATTATCAAAAATTATTTCATGCCGGGCCGCAACACCTCTTAGCAGATATTCGAGAAAGTCACTGGCCAATAGGGGGAAGGGACCTAGCCCGCCGCACAGTTCATAATTGCACGGTTTGTTTTCGAGCTAAACCAAAAGGTATACAGCCCATTATGGGAAATTTACCCGCACAGCGACTATTGCCCGGGCCACCATTTGTAGTAAGCGGCGTTGACTACGCAGGTCCGTACTTACTCCGAGACCGAAAGGGTCGCGGTTGTAAACTAATCAAAGGCTACATTTGCATATTTGTTTGTTTTAGTACTAAGGCGGTACATATTGAAGTTGTTACGGATTTATCCAAGGAAACATTTTTGTTAGCACTAAAACGATTTATGTCACGTAGGGGAAAACCCCGACAAATTTTCTCGGACAATGGTAAGAATTTTGTCTCTGCAAGTGCGGATTTTAAAGAACTTAGCTCATTTCTTAAATTAAATAAGTCTAGTATCGTTAATTCATTGTCTAAAGACGAGATAGAATGGAAATTCTCGCCTCCTTATTCGCCACATTTTGGTGGTCTTTGGGAGGCAGGAGTTAAATTAATTAAACATCATCTCAAAAGAGTTATATCAAATGCACACCTTACTTATGAAGAATTTTATTCGTTATTAACCCAAATTGAGGCAATAATAAATTCGCGCCCATTGACGCCGCTGTCAGCTGATCCCAATGATTACACAGCTTTAACCCCAGCGCATTTTCTTATTGGTCGTACAATAACCACAACAGGCGAAAAACAATTCACAAGCATCCCGATAAATCGACTTACACGCTATCAGCTGACACAACAGCTATCACAACATATGTGGGAACGCTGGAACAAAGAGTATATTTCTGAGTTACAGAAAAGAACCAAATGGGTATCTACTAAAGGAGATAAGGTTGACGAAGGCCACCTAGTTTTAATCAAAGAGGACAATTTGCCACCCATGAGGTGGAAACTTGGTCGCATCATTGAAGTGATTTGTGGTCGCGATGGTGTAGCACGTGTTTTTAAAATTAAAACTTCTAGTGGTGTCGTAACACGATCTTTTTCTAAAATATGTCCGTTGCCCTTAAACGACGACGTAGAGAATAGTTAAAAGCAGTGAACAAACTAAATATATTGAACTCATGTAGACATAATATAAGTTAGTATTAGGTAGTTAGGCTTAAAATTTATATGTTCGATTATAGCATGTTTAAAATTAAAAGGCAGTCATTTTTACAAATTATATTTTACTTATACTTATATATTTAACGAATTTATAATGCACCAATTGAGATATTCTGCTACTTCATTTGCATTGTCATAATATGATATTATTAGATAGTATTTATATGTAAAGGGTATTGCCATATCAATGTATTTTTGTTTGTTTTTTGTTTGTTTTTTTTTGGCAATACTTGCCAAGGCCGGGGGCATGTTTACGCTTGGCCCATATATTATAAATTATCTGTTTAACAAGTGCATAATATTTACGAGTAAAAGCAATTACCAAGAAAAGGGAGAATCAATTCTGCTAGGACATCTGGAAGATATTAGCCATCAAGTGGCTGCAACGCCCTCCCCTTTTTGGTATTTTATACCTAGATTTTAGTATTTTAACATTAAGAGTTTAAACTTAGTCATATACACAACCATGTTAAAATAAAGTTTTGTTTTTTGTTAAACCATCTTTTAATCGCGCAACATACTCAACATACTCAACGCAACGAACAAATTTTGACATTTAAATTTGGCATTTTCTAACATTTTTGTTTGTTGTCATGATGATTAAAAATTAAACTATTACTTTGTTATGAGGCAATGTTGCCATATAAAGAAAATATGACTCCCCTGTATCTTATTAAATGGGGGTGGTAAATTTAACTCTTGGTTAAAAAGTTTTTTAAATCCCAGAACCCAAACAATTATTTTGAATAATCAATTTCCTCAAGGTAAAGATCTCCCCATTTTACTTTTTAACAGTTTTATAAACGATATACTTCTTACCTTTAAATTCAGTAACTGCCTTTTATTCACTGACTTAAAATAAACTCACTTAATCTGATTTAAACAGCTTGGAACGATGGTGTGATATAAACCATATGGAGCTTAATGTGGCTAAATGCAAAGTTATTAACTTTTATAGAACTAATAATTGTAATAAATTTTCATATAGTTTAAAAAATAATATCCTTGATAATGTGTTGCTTATCAGGGACTTGAGTGTGCAATTGGACACAAAAGAATATTTTAATATGCACATAAACATAACAGCAAATGGGGCCTTAAAATATTGGATAATTTAGCCAGAAATATGAAAAAGTTTCATGTTAACTGTGTCAAATATGTGTATATGTCATTTTTCCGTAGTATTGTTGAATATTGTTGTGTCATAAGGAAACCGTATTACACATGCTATAGTAATATGATTGAGATAGTGCAGAACAGGTTTATTCGTCATAAACCCAGTATTCCCAATGAAAATGTCGTGTTTTCTCAGATAATGAATATATTGTGTCTTGACTAATTTTTCGTCAGGAGAGAAAAAGCTGAATTGGTATTTATGTATAAACCTATTAATAATTTAATAAGCTGTGGTGGGTAGTAATGATGCCCACAAAACCAACGAGACTTTCAAGTCTTGTGTTGTCTCGCCGATGAAAGCAGTCTCGCTTCTCGAGTCTTGGCAAAAGTATCGTAATCTCGTCATTCATAATATTGTTCCAGTCCAGTACGGTCAAATTGACGGCACGTTAAAGTTAAGGGTTATTAATAGCTATTTTTGGTCTATCTTATCTGAATTGAATCACCATAAAAAGTAAATATAGACTAAATTGGTGGTCTCTCAGAGGAGGCTGGTGAGGCAGTGCCTCCCTATAAAGAATTAAAGATAGGTAAAATATTTTACTTTATAATATAAAAATTCAATATTTGGATTACAATGATTATAAAATTTTCAATAAGTTGCCTCTGCCTCACCAAAATTCTGAAAGTATTTGATCACGATGGCTTATTCAGGCGTGCTGGAAAAACCAAGAGGATGTAGAAACACGTTTTAAATTAAATGTACTGTAAAAATATGTAGTTTTTTTTGCTCTCCTGAAAAATCTGATCGGAGAGACATATTTGGTTTGAACAGGACGCTCCTTATATAACAAAGAACAATAATAATTATTATTGTTCATTGAGAAAATACAATCGTTTTTTAATATTAAAAAATCAGCAATCAATTACCTGCACTGTCTCCTTAGGTACAGATATAGCTCCTTCATTTCCGGTAGTTTGGAACAAAAAACTCGTCGTGAAAGAGCAGGTATGTAGGCAAACAGCAGAGCACGGATCTTGGTGATTCCGCTTCGCTATAGCCATGGACGTGAAGGTCGAGCAATCGAAAGTGGGCACGAAAAGAGCGACTGCGACCTTGCCGACAGTGTTGCTTCTCCCTTCCCGGCTCCTTCCTTCCGCCAAGATCTCACGGCCGACCCTGCTGCCGCCGCTAATAGCTGCTAGCAGCGGCCAGTTGAACGTTCCTGCTGGACTACGAGTATCGTGATTCGAGTTTTCGCGCCAATTCTTGACTCGCACATGGTCTCTTCTCTCAAATCGATAAAAAGTTTAACACTTTCGTTTGTTTGTTTATTGTGTGATTGCGATTTCCTGCTGTTGAATTTCAGTTTTATTTTGTTTTTGTTGTTGTGATGTACAGTGGGCGTGCTACGTTATTTTGGATTTATTTAAACCCGATTAGTAATATTTAAGGTTCGTTAATATTAATTATAGTTTTCTATTATTTAATGACATAATTTGTAAACTTGCTCGATTACTAATACAATTTTTTTAGCCTCCTTTAAGTTATGCCCTGTAGTAAGTTTCCGAAAAGGCCTATACTTAAAATATTGGGTTTATTTATAACACTGATTGTATTAATGAATTAATTAAGGACATATAATTTTTTTTCTACAAGCGTTCGGAAAGTTGCTATACATAACCGTGAATAAAATTGCGAGTTTCCCTTACTTGAAAAATAAATATTGTACCTAACACGCGCGGAAAGTGCTCGAACTAAAAATAGCACTTTCCGCACTAGTTGGGTGAATAAATATTAAATTGTTATATTATTATAATCATAACTAGGTCGTTATTTTATTAATATTAAAAATACAGCTATTGCTGTATTAAATAGTATTTTGTATGTTTTCTATTGTAATATATAATATACATATCTATATCAATACCTATATATAGATATAGATATCTATCAGTGGCGAATCTAGTTTTTTTGAGGTGGGGGTTGCAGAGAAATTGATCGCTTATAATTTTTTTAATTTTATCTTGTTTTAAACCAATGTTTATCTTTCGGCTTACATATCTTTTAGGTAGTCGAAACTTAATAGTCATGTGGGTATATTATTATTTTAATGATTAATCAATATTTCCTTATTAACTTATATAGTAATTTATATCATAACATGGCAAATTCCAATGCATTTTTCCTAGAACCTTTACCTTATAAAAATACTTGAAGAAATTTTTTTTGCGCGACAATGAAAAATAACCATTTCGAACAAGATTTTCCTTGTGAAAAAAAATTTCCAACTGTGCAAAAAATTTAAAATGTTTTTCCTCAAAAAAAATATTTTTCTACTCCCACCTTTGAAGCGCCCTTTATTGTACAGGTTTTCATGACACTATAGTTTAATTATTTTAATTAAGCTAAAGTATTAATACTAATAAAATATTTAATAAGTGACCTTTTAAATACACATTGCCAAGTTGTGGCTTTATGGCGCTTTAGTCACGGGCTGAAGTTAGCAACAGGTTTTTAGTCACGGGCTAAAGTTAGTTTTAAGTTATATGACAGTTGTCAAATGTCATACAATCGTTAAAATAAAGTGCGTTTCTTGTAAAATAATACTAAATGTAAAAATTATTTTATCATCTCAATACAAAAATACAAAAGTATTAAATAGTTTCTCAACGCCAATATTTGAAAAGTTTATAGGTATGAACATTGTACTGCAGTACAATAAGTATAATAATACTTATAAGTGACCTTTTAAATACACATTGCCAAGTTGTGGCTTTATGGCGCTTTAGTCACGGGCTGAAGTTAGCAACAGGTTTTTAGTCACGGGCTGAAGTTAGTTTTAAGTTAGATGACAGTTGTCAAATGTCATACAATCGTTAAAATAAAAAGCGTTTCTTGTAAAATAATACTAAATGTGAAAATTATTTTATCCTCTCAATACAAAAAAAAAAAGTATTAAATAGTTTCTCAACGCCAATATTTGAAAAGTTTATAGGTATGAACATTGTACTGACCTTTTAATTTCCCGGCAGTAACCTATAACTTAAATTCTGGCACGGACTCCACTGTAGAGTCCTCATAAAACATTTTCTTCACTTTCACTGTGAAAAACTGTCAATTTTTAAGAAATACATTTCGATTTATAACCTGTGTTTATAAAATTTAAAAATATGACATTTGACGGTGACACACAGATTCCCCTATTGTTTCATAGATGGCGCTCTATACAAATTTTTTATTTAAATCATTTTAAGATAGTATTTGTCGTAGAAAAAGTATGCACCTCGTTTATAAACTTTTCTATACACTCATTAATTTAAGCACTCGCTCGCAAGTTCGCTCGTGCCTAAATTAAATTCGTGTATAAAATGGCGTTTATCAAAATATATATACTATTATGTTTAAATTGATAAATGGTATAATTTAAACTTTATAATTGTCAACACTTACTACTAAAGTGATTGATTACGGCATGGGCTTCCATTAGGACAAAAGTGAGTCTTTTTGTGCTGTACTTAAAAGTATGTTAAACGAAACATAAAACGTAAAATTATAATAATAACACTGGTCGACAAAATTAAATTTTTTCTTTGCCACATAACTTTATAGGGTAATTTGGGTGCAGTGATTTCAACTCAACCGCTCGTGTCAAACTTTGACAGTCAAAGTTTATATTTACGGTCATTTTTGTTCCTGGAGCTTGTACGACTTAAAAAAAAATCTGTAAACAACATGAATTAATAAATGCTTATTGATCTAATTTTTCTTCAAACAAATCTTGCTAGCAATTTTTTTACATTTATTTTAGTGACTCATGCAAGACTCTTACAGCAAGAGGGTTTGTATATGTTTGTAATTTTGTTAAAAAGTATCATTGTGTTTATTAATTTTTAAATTCGTAAAAATATATATTTCAATTTATTTTTGCACACAGAATTTAATTAAGCAAGCACTATGAGCAAAAATAACCGCAAATATAAATTTTGATTCGCGCGGTTGGTTTGAGCGCCATTTTTATTTGATTAAGTTGAAATTTGAAAAAAAATAAAATATATAAATAAAGCAACAAAATTTCATTCAAATCTGATTGTTTATGCTCCCGCAATTTAAATTTTAAAAATTATCCAATTTTATTTATAGACGTGCTAATATATTACATATTTACAGCCTGGGCTGTAAATAACCTAAACCATTTGGTCCTTATCATTTTTAGTACCTAGGCCATAATTAAACACTTAGTAACAAGTGTTGACAGCAATATTGTTTAAATTATAGATCGATTAAAGATACCATTTATTTATATTTAATATTATAATAAAGTTTTTAACTAAATATCAATAAATAAGGATTAAGAAATTTTCATAACTTTTATGAAAAAACATTTTTTTTTTAAATATTTCCTCTTAAAAAAAATGGTTTAATATTGAACTAGTAGATACCTTCAGCGAGTCGCAACTGGGGAATTGATTAAAAGTCTTAGACAATGAAAGAGAGTGGACTACGTACGCGTCAGATCGTTGGAAAGTGTGAATCAAGCTGTAAAGAGTTTCATGCATAATTTAATTATAAATGATATCATTCTAAATAAAACACTGCATATTTGTTTATTTAGGAACTGGGTTAACGAATCCTGATTAAAATAAATAGATCTCAAAGGCTATTCGAGTCTTGTCACACAACAATTTATTTATCTAATCTATCATGGGGCGAACTCATAGAAGTTCTAAATAGAATTGTTTAATGTTATAATGACCTTTATTTCTAATCCTTGATGGAAGCCACTTGCAGCCAGGGCCCCAAGACCAAAACTTAAAAAAATAATATTACATATATATGTTTTTTTTTATTTTAGAAGCATACCGCAGCTGGGAACAAGATTATTTTTTTCTTAATTTTGTAAATTTATTTATTTATAATTTTTGGTAAAGTATAGAGGAAATTCAATGTTTTTTTATAAAATTAATTAGTCATTAATCATATGATTTCAACGTAACAACTTATTCATCTTTATTTATATAACAAAACCTTATAGGATCCGCTATCGTATCCTGGTCTATCTAAAAGCATTATGTTAATTTAAAATTCCCAATGAAATGTTTCCAAAACATATTTAATAATATTTATATTTTATAAAAAACTAATGAGATATTGTGTATGTATAAAATAAAAATAAACGAAATAAATTACTTTTTCCCACCTTTAAAACGCCCATTATCGTATATGTTTTTATGACACTAAATGACCCTTTAAACATTGACAAGTTGATGGAAGCAAAATTTTTTTTACTCAGGGGTCAAATGTCATACAGTCGCTAAAATATAGTGCCCTTCTTGTAAAAATTACTAAATGTAAAAATTATTTATTATCTCAATACAAAAGTATTAAATAGTTTTATCACTCCAATATTTAAAAATTTTATATAAATATTGTACTGACCTTTTAATTTTGCCGACAGGAGTACCCATAAAACATTTTTTTCACTTTCAATTTGAAAAACTTGTTCTATATCGGATTTAAACCATAGAGTGTATAGATTTAAACGGTGGTTGGTACATTTTCAAAGAAAACATTTTGATTTACACATACAAATTTGACATTTTCACCGGCGCGCCGGTAATAAAGATTTCCAAAAATGGTTACTCTATTGTTTTACAGATATAATAGATAAACAAATATTTAGAAAAAGTATAGTATGCAACTTGTTTATAAACTTTTCTAGTTACTAAATTAATTAAACACTCGCTCGCAAGCTCGCTCGTGCCTAATTAAAATTCGTGACTAAAATGGCGTTTATCCAACTTGATACATCATTTACTATTGTTACAAATATTCTTTAAACACAATATATACATTAAGTATATACTGGGTCAATTTCTACGTAGGTATACCTAATATAAAACGCTTATACCTATTTAGCGCAATGAAATATTTTATCTAAACACAATAGAAACATGCAAAACACTAAATACAAGTTAGGTATAAAAGTATGTACACATGCAGTAATTAGCAAATAGTAAAATGTAATCGATTAAGTCTGTTTATTAACGTTAACATTTTCTAAATAACTTCAGGACCCACCTTAATTATTATTATTATTAAAGTATAGTAGCAAACGCGTATTGCATTCCTCTGCTACGACGTATCTTAACATTGTTATAATTTTGCTAAAATTAAATTTACATGCGAAATTCAATACAACTTTACTAAACAGGGTGTCTCAGAAGTCATAGACAGTAGGGTGGAGTGAATTTTTTTTAATTTATTAATTGATTTTTCCTATATTATTAATTGTTGACTAAAGGCGTAAAATGAATAAATATCGAAAAAATATTCCAATTTTTTAATATCTTGAGGTGGCGCATCAGTCTCGAAGTTTTGAAAATTCTAAAAAAATATTACTTCAATCAAAGTAATAAAAATAGCATTATTTATAAATAAAAAGTTTATTTTA